CCCCAAAACCCCAAAACCCCAAAACCCCAAAACCCCAAAACCCCAAAACCCCAAAACCCCTATAAGGATTTACAGATTGAATCATGCTTTGAGTGTTACTCTTTCTTTTCTTCATCTGGCTTTTTCAACAGCATCGTTTGGAGCTTCTCCTGTAGTTCAGCTTTCTCTTGAAGAATAGCTTCATTTTGAACTTGAAGCCACTCATTTTCTTCCTTATATTGAGTAATTATGCCTAAGAGATTAAATTTTAGTTTTACTTTCTATTTGGACAAAGAACTCATCTTCCTTTTTTCTTTCGCCTAAGAAATTAGCTTATGTGTTACTAAGTTTTTGTGCACCATATTTTTCCCGTAAAGAGAGCAAGACCTTGCCTATTGATTTATTCTCTAAATCTACCTAAATTTGCGTTTTCTAGTTTCTTGGCATCTATCTTAGCTAAAAAAATTTAGTCACCATTCTCGAGAAGATAAGGACTACCTTGGAGTTCAGAGTTAATCTGTTCCAGATATGAAATTCTCTGGAACGGAATGCTATCAGCTATTGGTTTCTCTCCTATCGATTAACTTTCCCCCTACTGATAGATTGATTAAGCTTCTCAATTTCTAAACTGTAATCATTCTGGCCTACTAGCGGATTTATTTAGAATTCGAGATTTTTAACAACTCGATTTGATTCTCAAGCTCTTTGGCTAAATTGGAATTATTTTAAGGAAATCTACCTCTGTCCTTATTCTCTTCAACTGATAAGATCTTTCCATGTGCTGATTTACCTCCAGCCATCTACAATGGTAATAGTAGCAGTTTACCTTATTGTCTAGTTGCCATCCTTGAATCTTAGTCTGAGTTGATACTTTGATCCCAAGAGGTTTTCTAGGCTTAACATTAGGAATTTACTTGGCTGTTTTCTATACAAGAAAAATTTATTATCAGAGAAAAATCCTTCTGTTACCTTTGCTTTCATGGGACTTGATCTCTTTGGTTTTCTTGCTACCTTTTCCATGTCTAATCGGGATAATGTAATTCCATACCTCAGGAGATAATTGAATTTTCAATAATTTATTTAATAAAAGGGGTTTTGGGGTTTTGGGGTTTTGGGG